AAAAAAAAAGGGCTCAAAGCCAGACAAGAGCCCATTGTTTCCTCCCTTTTTATTCCTCTACTGTGTCGCTACTTTTTTAGTAGCTTCATTTGTCTTGAGCTCTCTTTAAATGTTCTTAGTGTAGATAGATTTTAGGGCATTTTTCATTCTTGAAGGTGGGAGTTTCGGGTTGGTTTAGTAGTGGGTTTTGTGATTGTTTTCTGGGAAAAAAAAAATTGAACAAAATGGTTATATCTGGTGAGAACAATCTTAACATTACTAAACCGACTAATGTTCAAGGTAAATCTATGGAGTTTATAGTAAGTTTTGCGTGTTATAGGATTGAATATCGATGGTAGATTCCATGATCTAATATGAATTTCTGTTTTTTTTTTTTAATTAATTTTTTAAAGGGGGATTGGAGATGGGAGGAAGAAAGTTTGGGCAGGAGATTAAGCACAACAGAAGAGCTTTGAGTGTTATTAATCAGAATTTAGTGGGAGCTCAAGCTTACCCTTGTATTGTTAACAAGAGAGGCTTATCAGGGTAATAATTTTTTTTTTTTTTAACATTTCATTTAGTATGAGCTGGTTTTGCTCTGTTTGTTGGTTGTCACTTTCTGTTCACTTGGAATTGGAAGTAAATTTAGTTGGTGTTTGTTTTTTTGTCTCAGAAACCATGCAATCTGTGAAAAAAAGGAGCTTGATCCAGTGCATCGACCCATTACAAGGTTAGATTTTGTCTCTTTAGTTTTCTATTTGCTTTTTGGCTTGTGACAAAAGGTAGGGAAAGGAAAGAAATTTAAAATTTGAAAGTTGGATCTTGCTTTGCTTACCGGAGAACAAGCAAAACATAACCCTTTCTTAAATTGCTACTGTTCAGAAAGTTTGCCGCTCAAATTGCATACCCTCCAGAGTCGATGCAAGAACCTAAGAAGCCAAAAACTTCAGTTCAAAACACAAATGAATTTGGAGATTGTATATTCATAGATGTGGAGGAGAACAAGGCAGCCTTAGATCAACCAGAACCAATGTTTTTAGAGGAAACAGAAGAAGCAAGCCCGAACGAAATGGAGCAGATGGTATTTATCTAACATTATTATTGAAACAACTTTTAATTTTTTGAAATTTGTTAATTGATTTGTCAAATTAACCACAATTTGTTTGCTAAAAATTCACCAGGAGGAGGTTGAAATGGAGGATATAGATGAAGAGCCTGTTGTGGACATTGATGGCTGTGATGCAAAGAACCCATTAGCAGTTGTTGAATATGTTGAAGATCTGTATGCCTATTATAAAAAAATGGAGGTCAGAGGCTAAATGCTTGCTTGCTGCTTATGCTTGAATTTTCGATTTTGAAGTTTGATCTGATAATTTGAAATGCATTCTATAGTACATTGTATGTGTAAGTTCAAATTCTTTTTTTATTGGTAAATCAGCTCCTAGGGATCCCCGCCTCTGACTACTGATTCTTAATCCTATGATTTCTTTTCGATCTAATCCTCCACACACATCTTCTTTACGCAGGAAATTTGACGACAATTTTGTAACTAATTATTAAAAGTTCATTTATGTATGCATATTATAATCTGTACAACTCATGGCCAACCACTTAGGGTACACAGATTGAGAATGACAGTAGTTTTCCATCTTTATTACCATAAGTGAAACTTTCAAATTGGATTTCCATCATTTACAGATGAAAAGTAAATCTAATGTTTATCATTGTCCTATATTTTATACATATATGGGATGCATTTATTTCAAATGCCTTAATCAGTACATTACCTGTCAAATTTAATTCCTATTTTGATTGCAAATGTCATACCTAACGAGGACTGTTGATTTCACTCAAAATATGCAGTGTGTTGGTTGTGTCTTGCCGAACTACATGGCGCAACAAATCGACATTAACGAGAGGATGAGGGCTATACTGATTGACTGGCTTATAGAGGTAGAGAGTCACTCTCAACTTAACCAATGCCTCAATGGTATTTGGGATTTATGGTTCTCAACTCTTAATAATTGTATCTCCCTTGTTCAAATCTGCAGGTGCACGACAAGTTCGATCTCATGCACGAAACATTGTTTCTTACAATTAACCTCATTGACAGATTTCTATCCCAGCAAACAGTAGTTAGAAAGAAGCTTCAATTGGTTGGTTTAGTTGCTATGCTATTAGCTTGCAAGTATGAGGAGGTTTCGGTCCCTGTCGTTGGGGATTTAATTCTTATATCTGATAAAGCTTACAATAGAAAAGAAGTTCTTGAAATGGTAATTTTCTTTTATTGTCACCATAATAGTATTTAGTGATGCCTTTGAGTACTCAACTCCTCAATCCACACAGCAAATTATCGGACACTTATTTTTTTTCTTCGCAAACATGCAGGAATCCTTGATGCTTAACACATTGCAATTTAACATGTCAGTCCCAACACCATATGTTTTCATCCGAAGGTTCCTCAAGGCTGCTCAATCAGACAAGAAGGTTAATATTAGTAGTAGTATTTCTTCAAAAACTTATTCAAAACCTTTTATGTTTGTATAGTTATACTAATTAAACTACAACCTTAAAACAGCTGGAGCTGCTCTCCTTCTTCTTAATCGAGCTTTCGCTTGTGGAATACGAGATGCTCAAGTTCCCACCATCTTTGTTAGCAGCTGCTGCAATCTATGCAGCTCAATGTACTGTTTTTGGCTTCAAGCAGTGGAGTAAGACATGTCAGTGGCATAGCGGCTACTCAGAAGATCAACTCTTGTGAGTCATTTCTTTAACCATCTTTTAAACATAAAATTCAATACAAATTCATGAAAATGCAGTACCGAAACTCATTCATTGCTTCCTTTTTGCTGACAGAGAATGTGCAAGACTTATGATTGCGTTCCACCAGAGAGCAGCAACAGGGAAACTCACTGGGGTACACAGGAAGTACTGCACATCTAAGTTTGGGCACACATCAAAATCAGAACCAGCACATTTTGTATTGGGGACTCAGCTATAACATGGAATAATGTATAGCTACTAACTTTTACTTAATTGGGTTGGGGGTGAAGGACCCAGAAAGAAAAATAACAAAGCAACTAGAGTTGCACCTGGGAAATTTTATACTCTTGAATTTTTTAGGCCTGCAGCCCCAGTTGTTTATAGCTTTTTTACTTTACAACCACTGTTGATTTCATATGTTCTAATTGAGCATATTTTCTCATTGTAACTTTTTTAATTATGTTCCATTCAAACAATAATTTTAATTAATGAACATCATACAATAATTTTATTTATTTCTCTTCAACAATGGAAACAATTAAAACTATTTGGCTTGTGGTCAGATGACAAGACTTTATTCATTTGAGTGGGTTATCCAGTCTTGTGTTCGAGTCCCACAAAGTGATCATCTGTGGGTCCGTTTGGTTTATTATTTCATATTTTATTCTCAATCCTATTTTTAAAATAACTATTTGTTTCATTATTTAGGAAATACTATTATATTTTATTCAATTTTTTTAGACCTATTAAGTTTATTAATTTAATTAAACACTCCCAGAAAAAAAAGTTTAAAAATTAACAAAAACACTCTCACCCACCCATAGTTGCCAAATTCCGGCAACCACTGAATTTGGCAACCACCGACGAATCTGTCACAACGGTGTACAAACGATCGAACCTGGTCGTTAATTCGTCGATCTCGCCGTCCATGATAGCCAAAGAAATGGTCGTCGTTGACCGACAACAACAGCCATATCTTTGGCCGTTGCTGACGGCCAGATCTGACATTTTGTTGCCATCGATGGCTAGATCTGACCTTTCGACGCACGACCAGCCAGATCCGACCAGTCTGCGTCATAACGTTAGATTCTGATGGTGGTGGCCGAAATCTGGCACTATGGGTGAGTGTGGGTGTTTTTGTCATTTTACAAAATTTTTATATATTGTGGTGTTTAGTTAAATTAGCAAACCTAGTGGTTTTTTTTTGTTAATTTTTAAATTTTATCTCATAATAATCACCATACTCAACTATCCAATACTATTTTCAAAATCCTATCCAAAATAACAAACCAGACGGACTCTATTACATTTGTGACTTATTTGATCCATTGGGCTTATAGGGTGTTCAATAAACCATAGATATTAGTTGAGGTGTTGAACACCCTAGTCGTTTAAAAAAAAAAAAAAAAATTCAATCAAACGGAGAATTCAGCGTCGAACTAAAATTGGTAAAGGTTATTTATTAGATTCTTTTATTAGCAAATCCAAAAATGGACCTTAAAATGTGATGGTCACTAATGAAAAGTTGAAAACTGGACTTAGCAAAAAAAACTGTCATATACTTACAACAAAAACTAAAAGGCATGTTC